GCAGCAGCACATTCATTTTATTTTCTTTCCTGCCAGCAGCTATTACCATAATTCCTGCTCTACCACAAACCTGGAGAGCAGAGCTGCTGTTAATAGTCCTGGACACCTCACACAGATAAACAACACAGCAGAGAGAGGATAGAAAGTTTACCAGTGTAGGAAGAAGTTCTCAGATCTTTTACTTAAGTAAAATTACCAATAAAACTATGTAAAAATGCTCTATTACAAGTAAAAGTCCTGCATTCAACATATAAATATTACAACTTGTACTACTTTATATCCAGTTAGGTTAGGTTATATACAGAGGTCACAAGGAAAAAAGTACTGGGAACCACTGCTAGAATCTTTAAAAAGGGTAGGCTACAGTATTTCATTATCTTTTCATGTGAAATCTTAATCTCAAAAGTAGTACAGAGCATTTCCCTCTAAAATGCAGTAGAGTGAAAGTAAAAAGTAGTAAAAATACTGTATTTTCTGCTTTTCAGCCCTGAACAAAATAAATGACAGGGAATAATACAGAAGCAAAGAACCAGAAACATCTGACATAGCCTACTGAAATACAGGATGTTATATATTGATTATTTACAGTGCAAACAATGCATGTTTGAATATGGAAAACAGCAGTGGGCAGGGCAATGAAATATTTCTTCCTCTTGCCAAGTTCGCCATTGACCTCATGTCTAGATCTGTTGCACTTTAACACTGCCTGGTTATGAAAGCACCTTTCTCCACTGATAAACAGTATTGCATAAATTGGCTTGGCTTCTATTTCAAACAATTACTCTTAAAACTAAATGCATGTAAAGCAGCGTGGGAAAGCGCTGTTCCTCCTTGTTATGCAAAGCCTCGTGTGGAGATAAGCTGTGACCGTTAACAAAACGGCGAGTTCCTAGAGTGCTACAGGTGGCCACAGGCTCAAACTGTCAAACACAAATATGCACAAACACGCCTGCCCGTTGTGGCTTTACACAGGAGCCCTGCCAGATATGAAGTGCAATTTTACTAACTGGCAGGTTGAGAAATAAGAGTGAAGACTCAGAAATACGGAGGGCTTCAAATTAGGATCTGTCATCTCATTGCTCTCTCAAGTCCATCTCCAGGACTAAACGTGCCTCATTTCACATGCCTTAAGGATAGTGGTTCAAAAGCTACATTGAGCAATACACCTGAGAAGAAGAAGGGCACTAAGTTGGTAGCAAATCACTTCTTCACAACAGTGATTTAAGCAAGCTTGTTATGAGAAAATACACAAGAAAAAGTAGTAGGTTTTCTGAACTATATGAAAACTGTGCTATCTGTTGTTCCCGCTGAATAACATGCAGTATCACATTCCTGTAAGCTATGGTGAGGTAAAATCTGAGTGTCACCAAAAGGGACTTACCGGCATATGAAATGTAAAGATCATCATGGAGCACCTTGTAATGCCGCGTTACCCAGAGCACACTATGTCCATCCTCTCTGCTGCTGCTGTCAAAATAAAGGCATCAAATATTTCTAAATCATAATTAACAACATAGATAAAAGTCATAATATACAGACATTTTCAAAAAGTCATTATACAATAAAGTTTAATTACCTGGTAAAAATTAACTTAAAACTACACCTAATGCTTTTCTCCTCTTTCATAAATCCTAAATATGCAAATACAGTTTCTTTAAAAGGTGAATGTTGCAAACAAGACTAACAGTCTACAGCCATGCTAGGAGCTCTGTGAGGCTGTATGTAGGTGCAGTGGTGCTTTCAGGTAAATGCTAGTGTTAGCAAGCTAATATGCTCAAAATGACAATGCTGACATTTACCAGGTGGAATGTTTGCCACATTTGCCTATTTAATTTAGCACCTTAACATTTAGGCATCATCGCTAAACTCAAGGTGCAACTGCACCTGATACATGATCGAGATACTTTACTGGATGGGTGAAACCTTTCTGGTGGCACTAGAGGAAAAGTCAGGAGATCGCCAAAGGTATGATATTCACTCTGTGGGTACCATAAATATCTGTATGAAATTTAATGTCAATAATTGCTTGAATATTCCAATAAAAAACAGAAAAGTGAATCTGCTGGTGCTGCTGGACAAGAACTCAGGGGATCATCAAAATAAACAGGATTCATCCTGATTAAAATCATTCATCATTTATTAATTTGATACTACTTGGCTTGATGTGCAGAGCATACATTCAGCTTTTTGTCAAGCAAAATCCATTCAGAAAATTAAAAAATGTCTTGGAGTGGGTTAACGTTCTACAGCATACCAGCTCTAATAGACATTGTTGACCTGCATGCTGATTGACAGCCATTTTGAAAGCCTGGTTTTAGCACATATTGAACATGGTTGTAAAGACATACAGTACAGTAAGGTCAAGAATAAGATGAAGGCTGTGACCAATGAGCCATTCTCTTTCTGCTGCTGGTGCAACTCTGACTGCAGGAGGGCCCGACTGCCAAGCAGCCTACACGGAGGGAAAAAGTGACAGAAAAGGCATGAATTTTCCAGTAGGATCTAAGCAAAAGACAGAGACTCTTCCCAAGTTGTGAAGGCATGAATACGTTTCGCCAAAGGTCTGACGCACTCGCTCATTCACACATCAAATAAGTTTCCCCTCAATGGAGGGTTCTTTCTTCGCTGGCTTTGATTTAGTGGAAAGGCAAATGTTAAGGTCTTGCTCTGATTTGATGGAATTATCCCAATACACACCCTTACTGACACTGAGCAAATGCACCATGACTCTATCGCTTGCACCACCACTTAAGTGTCAACCTGACATTCAGCTACCTGACAGACTTAAACACACACAGTTTATTAACTTAAATACCACTTTGCAAATGGATAAAATAAATAACTCACATGAATGAATTTAAACATTCAATCCAAACAACGTGACAACTGTTGACTGAATGATTCTGATGCTATATAGGATATTACTTTTTGGACTTTTATCCATTTATACTTCCTTTTGAGCAAACTGGAAAACTGACACTGTGTAGAATGAAATCACACAAGGAAAACCCAGTGAAACCTAAGCTTAACACACATTACTGTGCACACAAATAAGCACACTATACACTGACACAACAGGCCCTAAAATCTGCCTGAGGGAGGTCACTTGTCACCTACACTGCACAGATCAGAGGTTGTAAATCTCCATATTTGGAGTGCAAGTAACTGATTGGAGGAGGAATGATGAAGCCATATGCTGTGAGTGCCAAATGAGGCAGGGCCATGGCAGGTTCATGCCATTATTGCAGCAGAACTTGTGAAGTGGACACACCCTCATACAGACAGGTAGGTATTACTTTAGTGGAGGGGCCCCAAGGCTGCAGGTGACTCGCAGCTAATTAGGGGTTTTGCCAAGACATGTGAATGACCCAGATTCTCACTGCCTGGTGCAGGTGTGACAGCAGAGAGGCAGGAGATGGGCATTTGTGCTTGAGGCCTCTAGTAAAAACAAACAGAAATCTGTCATCGCAGCATTATTTACATAAATGAATCAGATTTTTGTACTGTGCATATATGATGCTGAACTCCATCTGTCATAAATACATGACAAGTTGAAACAAAGAGGAATGAACTCTTCATACTGGCTGAAATTAGGAAGCTTGTTGGTTCATAAAAAACCAGTATACCAGGTTATTTTTTTAAACCAAACTCTGTCCCACTCTTAGGAGCAAACCTTCTTTGACATACTAATCTTTAAATGCAGACTGAAGACTCAGGATCAACCAACAGTATGTCCTCAAGTTGTGTAAACACAGCTGCTTTGTCTTTTTTGGTGAAAAAGAGCCATCATGTGGCCAAATTACTACACTGCAGAGCTGAGGTCGATTTCATCCCTTTCATCAGGCAGTAAATAAGAATGACAAGAGCTCCATGAAAGTATTATGTCAATAGTGTCTTCTTAAATATAATTTGTACAGAGGTAGTTAAAGAATACTTTTTTTAATTGATACTTTTATGTGATAGAATTTCTCAATAATCTAAGCATAATAACACAAAATGTTTCAATGAAAACATTTTTGGAAAACAAAGTGGTTCAAAAAACTTCAATTGTGGCTAGACTTTTTTGATTTGATTTAATTTATTCTTTCAAGCATGTAAAGACAGTTGATATGTCAACACATAATTTTACACATATCCAACAAATGCTAATCCAATATCAATTTGCTTATACCTAGTATATGCTTGAATGGAGTAGGAAGAAGTCAGACTTATCCAGTCCTACCCCATGACATCATCTTACCATCATTGGTTTGCAAGCAGTATCTCTACATAGATAATTCTCTTCTACACCACACAAGGAATATACTAAAAAATTATAACAGAGTGTTAACATTCTTACATAATTACATTCTTAAATAATTCTCTTCTATACCACACAAGTAATATACTAAAGAATTATTACAAAGTGTTAACATTCATACACCACACCCACAATGTTCCATCTGATTAATCATTAAGCCTGTTCTTGCATATATCTTGATTGACACATACCTTTATATTTATGTTTAAACTCATCAATTCTAGTACTATTTTTTATGTCTACACTTAAATTATTCCATAGTTTTACCCCACTTATGGAAATACAAAATCTTTTTTTGGTTGTACGTATAGCATGAATTTTTAAATTTAACTGACCCCTTAAATTGTATCCCCCATCCCTTTCATTAAATAGTTTTTGAATTCCACCAGGTAATAAATTGCTCCTGGCTTT